TGCGGTTGTGGGGTGCCGGTGTCGCCTCCCGGGATCCCTGATTGAGGGTTCCCGCCCCCCTTCCACCTCCTTGTCCAGAAAGGAGCTCCTGCCTGGGCTGGTCCCATGTCCCTACACCCTGGACCCGGCCATAGCCATCCCCCTCCCCCCTATAGGAGGCCCAGCCCCAGCCATGAGCCTGTCCCCTCCCAGGGGGGTCCTCAGCCCTCCCCTGGCGTGTGGACCAGCTCCTTCCGACGCCCCCAGATGCCGTGTGGGCCCCACTCACCTCCCCCAGGCCTCCAGGTGGTGGCGGCGGCCGCTCCCGAGGCGAAGGGCTTCTCTCTCACCAGCACCCCCTTCGGACAAAGCTCCAGCCGGGCCTGGAAACGAAACGGGGCAGACTCCTCTGCAGGGAGCCCCACCCACGCGGGGTGGGGGGGGCCCGGCCCAGGGGTGCGCTGCCTGCCTCTGGGCGCTGCCTCTGGCCCGGGCTCTCCGGGCCACCACCAGGGGCCGCTGGCGGCCTCAGGGGAAAGTCTCTCTAGGAGAGAAAAGTAGGGATGGGGGGGGGGGGGGGGAGGAGATCCTTTCCTGGGAGAGGGGGGAAGCTAAGAGCAGAGCGGAGGCCCCGGCCTGTCACTCCACCCTGCCTGGGGTGGGGGTGGGGGGGCTCCGTAGGGTCTTGTGAAGTCACGTCCTCACTCTAGCCTCCTCCAACTGCGGGCCGTTTCTGGAAGGGTCCTGGGCGGTGGACACTGTGTCCCCGGCCTGTGAGCGACCCTAGATCTCCTAACGGCAGGTTCTGGGAAGTCGTGGTGGCTGAGAGCAACAGGCAGGGTGGTGAGGCTGGCCATGTGTGTGCATGCCTGTGTGCGTGCACCTATGTGCATGTGTGTCTGTGTGTGCGGTGTGTGTGTGTGTGTGTGTGTGTGTGTGTGTGTCTACCCTCCCCTCCCTCCAGGCACTCCCCATGCCTGTGAGCTGGCAGAGTTTAAGGTTTCCAGCCACACGGACGGATGAATGAATGAGTGCAAACGAGGCCATGGCATTGATGCCCAGCGGATCTGGGACTGTCCCCCAGAGCAGAGCTGATGGAAAACCTCCCTTTTTCCTCCTCAGAACTGGAGACCCCGCCTGCCCCTCCCTCCTCTCCTCTATCTCCTCTGGACTCCTTCAGCAAGTATTTGTCCTTGAGTGGCTGCTAACGCGTGCTCAGAGATACTCACAGTATCTCCTCACAAGGCTTAGGATGAAAATAGGAAGAAAAAGAAAAGAAAAAAAAACAGCGGCCACCCGCAGACAAGAAGACAGTTGTCTTCACGGGGTGATTGTAGCGAAGTCTCCGAAGAAAACAAAGGGGCTGCTGTGGGAAGCTCCCCAGGCGGCAGCCTCCTGTCTGAGGCCGAGCCAGGAGAGCCGTGGGGGCTGAGAGGGCCGTGGTGGGCGTGAGGACAGACAGTCTCATTCTCACACAGTCAAGTGCGAGGCCAGTCTGAGAGCATGAAGGAGACTGGGGCGGAGGGGCGGGTGATAAGCGACAGAGAGGACAGTGGATGCATCTGTGGAACTCGGAATTAAAAGGGAATCCATGCCGAAACCGGTTTGGCTCAGTGGATAGAGCGTCGGCCTGCGGACTGAAGGGTCCCGGGTTCGATTCCCGTCAGGGGCATGTACATTGGTTGCGGGCACATCCCCGGGGGGGGGCGGGGGGCGGGGGTGTGCAAGAGGAAGCTGGTCGATGTTTCTCTCTCATCGACATTTCTAACTATTTCTCTCAGTTCCTCTCTGTGTAAAATCATATATATATATATTTTTTTTTCTTTTTTTTAAAAGGGAATCCATGAACCTCAGAGGGAAGGCAGGGGAGGGGGGAGGGGAGAGATCAGATAATGAACTTGTCTGCGTATATGCATCACCCGTGGACAAGGGGGAGGGGAGGATGGGAGCGGGCTGGAAGAGGTTAATGGGGAAAAAAGAAAAACCTGTGTAATACTTTCAACAATAAAGATTCATTTTAAAAAGGTAAAAAATAAGATAAGTCTATTTGAAGATTGCCCGCCCTTATTTTCATGATCCCATCGCTTGCCATACTGGCTGAGATTGATACACGAAAAAGATGAGGTCTGTATATTTGAAAGCAAAATGCAGGTCTCCTGTCTGATTATATAATGCAACCCGATTCGCTTAACAGTAAATGTGAACATAAGACCCACTTATTTCATTGAATCAAGTCATGCCTCTCAATGTTCACCACATTCCTGGGCTACCCTAGGCCTGGATATGGAAGAGGGGCTGACGGTTACAGGCCCCCCTCCTGGGAGAGATGTAATTCATCTTTGTGAGCATCTTAGAAAAGCAGGTCCACGTGTCCAGAAGGGGGTCACTAAAATGATAAGGCTGGTTTTTGAAAAACCCTTTTCTGTATTTTTAAAATGTTTACTATCAGCATTGTTTCTCCTTGACTCGCAATGGAAATAGAGCTGTTTTCATTTTGGAAATATTGAAAAGTACAGTCAACCTGCACTGCATTGTAATGGTCACCATGGAGACTTTCAAACCCTTCAGCGAGGGAAGGGAGGAGGGGGATGCTTTTGTAGGAGCTGCTGCTGCTGTGTGTGTGTGTATGTGTGTGTGTGTGTGTGTACACGCGTGCAGCTGATAGAGGCTGAGTCTCAGCTAATCTGTGAGGGGATGAGAAAGAAATGAACTAAAAGAGGAAGATACTTTTTAATGTACATATTTTTAAAATTGATTTCAGAGAGAAAGGGAGAGGAGAGAGAGATGTCAGTGATGAGAGAGCATCATTGATCGGCTGCCTCCCGCGTGCCCCACACTGAGGTTGGAGCCCGCAACCCTTGTCCAGAATTGAACCAGGACCTTTCAGCCTGCAGGCCGACGCTCTATCCACTGAGCCAGACCAGCGAGGGTGGGATATGCTTTCTTCTAGGATCACCTAACGAAAGTCTGAAGGAGGAAGAACCTGTTTTCTCTCTCTCTCTCTCTCTCTCTCTCTCTCTCTCTCTCTCTCTTTTTAAATAAATCTTTATTGTTCAGATTATTACAAGTGTTCCTCTTTTTTCCGTCCATTGCTCCCCTCCACCAGATTCCTACCCCATCCTCTGCCCTTTTCCCACCCCCGACTGTCCTCATCCACAGGTGTACAATTTTTGTTCAATCTCTTCCCGCACCCCCCACTCCCCTTTTCCCCCGAGAATCATCTCGACCTAACCATGCGTGACTTGGGATAATGGTCCTAGATCGCTTACCAACGAATGGAAACTCAGTCTTGATTTTCTGGCCAGACCCATGCCAGGGTGCCGGGAACTTGAATGCGGTCTTAGTGATTCTTGGGTGGACACACTGAGGCCGGAAAGGACAAGCCGCTGGTCCAAAGCAGAGTGGACAACTCCAGAAGGGATTGGGGCTGTGGAGTCTCGGTGGGGGCTCCTTGCCCCCAGAGTGGGGTTCCTCTGAGCGGTGTTTCCATGACACCCAGTACACAATAGGCTCCGGGTTTAACAACACCCACCTGAACCTGCCTCTGGGCCCCGGTCTGCTGAGAGTCAAGCGGATGTGAAAGGTCTTAGAATTCAGGGTGGCTGCTAGGTGTTCCCTAGCCTGTGGGTCATGATTTGGGTGAACCACTTCAGAGAGGGAGCGAGAGGGAGAGAGAGACAGAAACATCCATGATGAGAGAGCCTCACTGATCAGCTGCCTCCTGCACACCCCCCACTGGGGGCCAAGCCCACAATCCAGGTATGTGCCCCACCAGGAACTGAACCAGGACCTCCTGATTCATAGGTCGATGTTCAGCCACTGAGCCACGCTGGCCTGGCTATATAAGGCATTTTTGAACAAAGGAGAAAAGGGGGAAATGGAATATTAGATTTCAGCCGTGAGAACGGGTGGTTTGCAGGTAGTTGAAGAAGAGAACACACATGTCAGGAACATTGAGAACCAATGAGACCCAGGTTATCTAGCTAAGAGAGAAGCTCTGGAATAACTGTGTCCATTCAAGAGGAAGCAGATGGACAGGCTGCGATGGGCTGAGAGGGAGACAGAGGGACCGGGGCCTGGTACTGAGCTGAACTAGAAAGAAGCGAGATGGGAAAGAAGTCAACAGGGATTCCCAGGTCCCACACAGCTGCCTTCCCCAGTGCTTGGGGTGCATCCTCTTCGGCCACCAGGGGGCAGCAAGAGCCTGGGTTATGGGCAAGGTACTTCCTGTGGTTCATGCTGTCCCTCCATGAAGTGTGAAGAGCTGCTTGCCTCTGAGGCCCTTGTGTCCCCAAACAACTGTGCCCACCAGATCACCTCTTACCCATTAGGACTAATATGTTTAGGGCTCAGCGTCAGCCTCACTCCCCTGCAGACAGAGGATGGAGCGTTGCTGACTAGGGGGAATGAGAGGGAGCTGAGGGCCATACAGTCCCAGCTCTGTCATTGGTGCCTGGGAAATGGAGCAACCTGTCAGCCAACCTGTCCTCACCTTTGCCCACACAGTGCAGAGGGGAAGCCCTGAGATTTCTCACCAGGAACCACCATGAAAACCACACAGAAAAGGCAGGGTTCCCCCTGGTTGGCTCCATTTCTTCATGCTGTCCTAGCTCAGACTGATCTTACTTAGCACATATTAAAGAGTTCGGCAATTTTTTTTTTTAAATTATTGATTGATTTGAGAGGGAGAGACAGAGAGAAAGAGAGAGAGAGAGAGAGAGAGAGAGAGAGAGAGAGAGAGAGAGAGAGAGAGAGTGTATTTGTTGTTCTATATATCAATGCATTCATTGGTTGATTCTACCCGGCCAGGGAAAGAGTTTAATTGTTGATAAAGCTCTTCTTTCCAGGGATGCAGGCTTATCTAGAATCCAGGTCAGAGTGGGGAGAAAACAGGCAGGAGCAGGAAATGGATTTGCATGGAGGCCCCTCCCCCATGAGGCAGAAGGAGGGGATAAGAGAGGTCTGGGGGAGCCAGGCTCAGGCTTGGGGTCTCAGAAGGCAGCTCTCAGGGCACCTCCACCATGGCCTGGGCTCTGCTCCTCCTCAGCCTCCTCTCTCAGGGCACAGGTGAGGCCTCAGGGAGGGACCAGGGACACTGGGCTCCCTCTGCCTCCTCCTCAGGCTCCCCGGGCCCAACGCTGAGCTCACCAGAGGGTGTTGTTGCTCTTTTCAGGGTCCTGGGCCCAGGCGGCCCTCACTCAGCCTCCCTCCGTGTCTGGGACTCCTGGGACGTCAGTCACCATCTCCTGTGCTGGGAGCAGCAGTGATGTCGGTTATGGTAGTTATGTCTCCTGGTACCAGCAGCGCGGGGGCACGATCCCCAAACTCCTGATATATAGTGACAGCACTCGGCCCTCAGGGATCCCTGCGCGCTTCTCTGGCTCCAAGTCTGGCAACACGGCCACCCTGACCATCTCTGGGCTGCAGGCTGAGGACGAGGCTGACTATTTCTGCTGCTCATATACAACCAGTAACACTCTCCACAGTGGTGCAGGCTCATGGGGAAGTGAGACCAAAACCTCCTTCAACTGCCTCAAGCCCCGTCACTCCTCAACCCAGGCTTTCACTTCTTTATCCTTTGCTATGACCTTAGTTTTTAATAACTGCAAACGTAAACACACATTTAAAGATAGTATAAAGAAATCCTCTATTATCTTTTCCCGATTCACCACTCTTTAACATTTTACCATATTTACTTTTCCTTTTGTTTTCTTATCTTCATCTCTCTCAGCATATACGTTTGTGTATGCATACATAGGAGTAGAGGAATACACACACACAGGCATACACATACATAACACAGACACAATGACATTCATTTTCTGAATCATTTGAGAGGAAAGCATATCCAGAGGTGGGCCAGGCCTGACTGGGGATTGAACCTGAAACCTCGGCGTGTTGGAACAACACTAACCAGCTGAGCTACCCGGCCAGGGCCTCCAATAACTTTGTTAAACAACGTCTAATAAATGCACCCCACGCTCAGACTCAGGACCCAGGCTGGGCCAATGCACAGGCAGAGGGCAGATCAACCCCTCTTATGAGAAGAAGCGGGGAGGTTTGAGGGGTGAGAAGCACCCCAATGTTGGCTGCTGTCCCTGGAATCTGAGCGATTGGCTCTCTCCAGCCTGCCTTGGACCCTGCCCTCACCTGCATCCCTCAGAGCAAGAAGTGGAAGTCCCAAGATTCCTCGGGAGCCACAATGGCTCTTGCAACAGGAAGGAAGGGGGCATCCGAGATTATCTCCATTTCCTGGGCCCTGTCTTAGGCTCAGCCTATTCTGACTCGGAAAATTCCACTTGAAGACTTTTCAAAAAATATTTTTTGTTGATTTTTTTTACAGAGAGGAAGGGAGAGGGATAGAGAGGTAGAAACATCAATGAGAGAGAAACATGGATCAGCTGCCTCCTGCACACCTCTTACGGGATGTGCTGCAACCAAGGTACATGCTCTTGACTGGGATTGAACCTGGGACCCTTCAGTCTGCAGACTGATGCTCTATCCACTGGGCCATACCAGTTAGGGCCAGCTCAAAGACTTTTAACCTCCCAGGAGCTCTCTGCCCAGAGTGCAGGTGCATCAGGCATATTTGCATGGAGGCCCCGCCCTCCTAGGAGGCAGGGGGAGGGGATAAGAGAGGTCTGGGGAAGCCAGGCTTAGGGTTTCAGAAGGCAGAACTTTTGGGGAGTCTCTGCTATGGCCCGGGCTCTCCTCCTCCTCACTCTCCTCTCTCATGGCACAGGTGAGGGCGCCTGGGAAGGGACCACAGGACCATCGGGCTGATAGAGGCCTCTGTCTAATCCTTGAGGCTCACCTGAACCCCAGCATTGGACTCACCACAGTGCGTTTTTGCTCTTTTAGGGTCCTGGGCCCAGGCGGCCCTCACTCAGCTGCCGTCAGTGACCGGGAACCTGGGACAGTCGGCCACCATCTCCTGTGCGGGAAGCAGCAGTGACATCGGGCGTTATAATTATGTCTCCTGGTACCAACAGCGCCCAAGCACGGCCCCCAAACTCCTGATTTCCTACGTCAACACCCGGTGCCCGGGGGTTCCTGAGCGCTTCACCGGCTTCAAGTCCAGCAACACGGCCTTCCTCGTCATCTCCGGGCTGCAGGCTGAGGACGAGGCCCACTATCACTGCTTCTCCTACGTGGGCAGCAACACTTGCCACGGTGGTGCGGGCTCAAGGGGAAGTGAGACCAAAACACCCCGGCGCCCGCCCGCCTTGCTCTGAAGATGCCCCCTCCCTGGGCAGGGGGCTCAGGCAGCATGCCCTGGAGGATTGGTGCTCTGCCCCTTCCTCCCGCCTCTCCCTGAGCCGTGGGGGCCCAGCATGTTTTCTCAGCTCTTCTCCCCTCGTCCACGAAGTCCACAGGAGCTGGGACTTGCTGCCTTGGCTTGTGTTTTGTGCATCCAGTAGGCCCCCCTCAATCCAAAGCGTTCATTGTCACCACTTCAAGGAGGCCCCTGCTCAGTTTGCTGGGAAGATTTCCCACAATCCTCTGGGAAATCCTCACTGCAAATCCCTGGGCCTCCCACACCTGCATAGACCAACCTGGATCCAATTCTTCACTAATGAAGTGGCCAAGACAATAAAGGAAGTCTTAATTTCCCTTCCTTTGTCCCGCCCTCCCTCTCTCTCTTCTTTCCTTTCTTTTTTCCTTCCTTCCTTCCTTCCTTCCTTCCTTCCTTCCTTCCTTCCTTCTTTCCTTCCTTCCTCCATTTTATCTTTCCTCTCTCTCTCCCTCCCTCCCTCCTTTTTATCCTTCTTTCTTTCCTTTTTATGGGGCTCCCAATAGTTGCCATGACCAAGCAAGGTGTGAGGGGGGAACTGAGGGAAAGGGTGTGTCCTCTCAGAACTGCTGGCCCCTCAGATCCGTGAATGGCTCTCCTGGGGCACCTGCAGGAGAATGGCCATCCCATTGGATGGGTCTTTCCAGTGGGCTGCCTGGTTCTACAAGATGTCTGTTGGTGGGAGTGCCCATGCCTCAAGGATCCCCAATGTTTTTCATGATGATCCAACTCATTTCCAGCCACATTCCCAGTCAAAATGCATCAACAAGTATAAACACACTGAACAATGAGGAATGGTAGTGTTTGTTATCATTTTCTCTGTCTAAGTTATGGGTTGAAATGAGTCACTCCCCATGCAATCAGCATGGATCTGGGATTAAATATTAGTGACTTTAATTTATAAGCTTGGCTTTATTGGCCATTAGTCATAGGAGCAAGTGGTCACTTTGGCTTTTGTGGTGACTGTCATGCTTAGCATTTCTATAACATGTCTTATCACGTGGGCACACGTGTGCAGAATGACTGTAAATGAGAACGGGGATCCCTGCAGCATGGTAGTGATTCCCTGTGGTCCTAACGGGATGAGGACCAGGACAAGGTGGGACCTAGTGAAGTCAGAGGGCTGCTTCCCCAGGAAGGATGAGGACAACTGGCCTGTGCCCGGGCCTCCCATGGTTTCCCAGGAGACAAGGGCCGAGTCCACTCGGTCCACAAGCCACAAGCCCAGCTGATGTGCTTCTGAGCAGACCAGTGACTCCTACCATCTCACTGTTAACTCACACTGATGCCAGTATTGTTTAAGCTGCCTTCCCTGGGGCTTGGCTTGCATCATCCAAGGCCACCAGGGGGCAGCATTGCCTGCATTTGGGGAAGGGCTGGCTGGGGTTCAGCATTGAGCTGCAGGAAGTCTTCCTGGGAGCTTACCAGGACCTCCTCCTGAGTGGGTGGCGGTGGAGGGGGATGTCCTGTATGCGTTGCGTCCCAGCTACCCACTTCTGGGGGTGGCAGTAAATGTTCCCGAGCCTCAGACGCTACATGAGGATGAGACACCTGAGGACTCACTGAACTGAGGGCATCAGGAAAGATGGAGAAAGCCTGGGAGAAACCGGCTATGCCCGTGGTTCTTGGGCCACAGAGGGACTGGAGTTCTAAAAGCAGACCTAGAGCCTGTCCTCCCTCCTCCCAGTGTCCCAGAGGGGAGTCCCCATCCTCCTCAGCCAAGAACTACCTTGATGCCCAAGGAGGAGGGACAGGGACCTCCAAGGTGGCCTCTGGTCCCTCTCCTGGGGTCTCAGTGAGTCCCTGGTGAGGAAAACATAGCCGACATAATATGTCAGGTCAACTCTGCTGTCTGGTGTGTAGAAGCATCTATCTAGAACAAGGGTCAGGTCAGAGTGGGAAGAAGACCAACTAGTGCAGGAAATGGATTTGCATGAAGGCCCCTCCCCCGTGAGGCAGGGGGAGGGGATAAGAGAGGTCTGAGGGAGCCAGGCTCAGGCTTGGGGGTCTCAGAAGGCAGCTCTCAGGGCACCTCCACCATGGCCTGGGCTCTGCTCCTCCTCAGCCTCCTCTCTCAGGGCACAGGTGAGGCCTCAGGGAGAGACCTGGGACACTAGGCTCCCTCTGCCTCCTCCTCAGGCTCCCCGGGCCCAACGCTGAGCTCACCAGAGGGTGTTGTTGCTCTTTTCAGGGTCCTGGGCCCAGGCGGCCCTCACTCAGCCTCCCTCTGTGTCTGGGACTCCTGGGACGTCAGTCACCATCTCCTGTGCTGGGAGCAGCAATGACGTTGGGCGTTATAATGAAGTCTCCTGGTACCAGCAGCGCCCGGGCACGGTTCCCAAACTCCTGATTTATGGTGTCAGCTATCGGCCCTCAGGGATCCCTGCGCGCTTCTCTGGCTCCAAGTCTGGCAGCACGGCCACCCTGACCATCTCTGGGCTGCAGGCTGAGGACGAAGGCTGACTATTTCTGCTGCTCATTAAGAAGTGGTGGCACTCTCCACAGTGGTGCAGGCTCATGGGGAAGTGAGACAAAAAACTTCCCTGGCCTACAGGCTCCAAAATTGCTCTGAAGATGCTCCCTCCTGAGCAGGGGGCTCAGGCAGCATGCCCTGGAGGATTCGTGCTCTGCCCCTTCCTCCCCCCTCTCCCAGAGCCTTGGGGGCCCAGCGTGTTTCCTCAGCTCTTCTCCCCTCTTCCACGAAGTCCACAGGAGCTGGGGTTTGCAGCCTATGCTTGTGTTTTGTGCATCCAGAGGCCCCTCAATCCAAAGCATCTAATAACAGCCACAGGGAGGCCCCTGCTATGCTTGCTGGGTACATTTCCCACAATCCTCAGGAAATACTCACTGTAAATCCCTGATCCTCCCACACCTGCACAGACCAACCTGGATCCAGTTCTCCATTAATGAAGTGGCAAAGACAAAGATTTAATTTTCCTTCCTGAATCCATCTCTCCCTCTCTTCCTCCCTCCCTCTCTTCCTTCCTCCTTCTCTTCCTTCCTTCCTTCCTTCCTTCTGCCTTCCTACCTCCCACCCTCCCTTCTTCTCTACCTCTCTTCTTTCCTTCCTTCCTTCCTTCCTTCCTTCCTTCCTTCCTTCCTTCCTTCCTTCATGCCTTCTTTCCTTCTTTGTGAGGCTCCCAATACTTCCCATCACCAAGGAAGGTGTGAGGTGGGGATCTGAGGGAAAGGGTGTGTCCTCTCACAACTGCCCTCTGCTCAGGTTCCTGAATGGCTCTCCTGGTACAACCTGCAAGTTGAAGGCCATTCCATTGGATGGATCTTTCCTGAAGGCTGTCTGGTTCTTCCAGATGTGTGTTGGTGGTGGCCCCCATTCCTCAGGGACTCCCAATGATTTTCATGATGATCCAACTCATTTCCAGACACAATCCCAGTTAAGATGAATCAACAAATACTAATATTATACATCTAAGTATGAGGAGTGAAGTCTTTGTTATCATTTTTTTTCATCTAAGTTAAGGATTGAAATGAGTCACTCTCCATGCATCAGCATGGATTTGGGATTAAATATCAGTGTTTTTAAGTTATAAGTTTGCCTTTATTGGCCCTCAGTCATAGGAGAAAGTGGTCACGTTGCCTCCTGTGATGGCTGTCATGCTTAGCATTTTTTCTGACATGTCTCATCACATGGGCATAGACGTGCAGAATTACTGTGAAAACAGGGACTCCTGTAGCATGGGCTCAGGGTCTTTGTGGTCCTAACAGCCGAGGACCGATGAAAAGTTGGGACCCAGTGAAGTCAGAGGGCTGCTTCCCCAGGAAGGATGAGGACGACAACCATGTGCCCAGTCCTCATCATGGTTTCGCAGGAGACCAGGGTCCATTCCACTTGGTCATCAGGCCCAGCTGATGTGCTTCTGAGCAGACTAGTGACTCCTACCATCTCCCTGTTTTCTCACAGGGAGGCCAGTATTGTCTAAGCTGCCTTCCCTGGGGCTTGGCTTGCATCATCCAAGGCCACCAGGGGGCAGCGTTGTCTGCATTTCGGAAAGATGCTGGCTGGGGCTCAGCTCTGACCTGCAAGAAGTCCTCTTGGGAGCTTACCAGGACCTCTTTCTGAGTGGGAGGCGGTGGAGGGGGATGTCCTGTATACATTGCGTCCCAACTTTCCACTTCTGAGGGTGGCAGCAAATGTGCCCGAGACTCAGATGGTGCAGAGATTGGGACAAGGGACACCTGAGGACCATTGAAATGAGGGCATCAAGGAAATATGGAGAAAGCCTGGGAGAAACCAGCTTTGCCCTTGGATCTTGGGCCACAGAGTGATTGGAGTTCTAAAAGCAAACATAGGCCGAAAACGGTTTAGCTCAATGGATAGAGCGTCGGCTTGGGGACTGAAGGGTCCCGAGTTCGATTCCGGTCAAGGGCATGTACCTTGGTTGGGGGCACCTCCCCGGTGGGGGGTGTGCAAGAGGCAGCTGACCGAAGATTCTCATCAATGTTTCTAACTATCTATCTCTCTCCCTTCCTCTCTGTACAATATCAATAAAATATATATTAAAAAAATAAATAAAATAAAAGCAGACATAGAGCCTGTCCTCCCTCCTCCCAGTGTCTCAGAGGGGAGTCCCCATCCTCCTCAACCAAGAACCCTGTGGATGCCCAAGGAGGAGGGACAGGGACCTCCAAGGGGTCCTCTGGTCCCTCTGCTGTGGTCTCAGTGGGTCCCTGGTGAGGAAAACATGGCCGACATAAAGTCTCAGGTCAGCTCTGCTGTCTGGTGAGCAGAAGCATCTAGATCAAGGGTCAGGACAGTGGAGGTAGAAGACAGGCAGGAGCAGGAAATGGATTTGCATGGAGGCCCCTCCCCTGTGAGGCGGGAGGGGTTGGATAAGAGAGGTCTGGGGGAGCCAGGCTCAGGCTTGGGGTCTCAGAAGGCAGCTCTCAGGGCACCTCCACCATGGCCTGGGCTCTGCTCCTCCTCAGCCTCCTCTCTCAGGGCACAGGTGAGGCCTCAGGGAGGGACCCGGGGACACTGGGCTCCCTCTGCCTCCTCCTCAGGCTCCCCGGGCCCAGCACTGAGCTCACCAGAGGGTGTTGTTGCTCTTTTCAGGGTCCCGGGCCCAGGCGGCCCTCACTCAGCCTCCCTCCGTGTCTGGGACTCCTGGGACGTCAGTCACCATCTCCTGTGCTGGGAGCAGCAGTGATGTCGGTTATGGTAGTTATGTCTCCTGGTACCAGCAGCGCCCGGGCACGGTCCCCAAACTCCTGATTTATGATGTCAGCAATCGGCCCTCAGGGATCCCTGCGCGCTTCTCTGGCTCCAAGTCTGGCAACACGGCCACCCTGACCATCTCTGGGCTGCAGGCTGAGGACGAGGCCGATTATTACTGCTGCTCATATAGGAGTGGTAACACTCTCCACAGTGGTGCAGGCTCATGGGGAAGTGAGACCAAAACCTCCTTCAACTGCCTCAAGCCCCGTCACTCCTCAACCCAGGCTTTCACTTCTTTATCCTTTGCTATGACCTTAGTTTTTAATAACTGCAAACGTAAACACACATTTAAAGATAGTATAAAGAAATCCTCTATAATCTTTTCCCCTGATTCATCACGCTTTAACATTTTACCATATTTACTTTTCCTTTTGTTTTCTTATCTTCATCTCTCTCAGCATATACGTTTGTGTATGCATACATAGGAGTAGAGGAATACACACACACATGCATACACATACATAACACAGACACAATGACATTCATTTTCTGAATCATTTGAGAGGAAGGCGTATCCAGAGGTGGGCCAGACCTGGCTCTCCAGCAGGATCTTGGCGGGGGCGGGGGGCTGTATATTCCTGTTGCCTAGTGGGGCCCGGACTCCAGGAGAGGCAGAGAGCGCTCACTGGGGGTCAGGAGAGACTAATGTAGGCTGCTCAGGACACTGGCACTGGCTCCTGGAAACACAGCGTTGGCGCAGACAAGCAAGTGCCAATGGGAATCCAGGCCACACGCTCTGAGACATCGCCGGGCGGTGCCAGAGCTGCTTGCACCTGCGATTGGCCAGCTTCCTCACAGAGGCCTCTTTCCAACCGTTGCCCATTAGAGGGAGGCGACCATTGGGGCATAGTGAGCAGAGCGAGCTATACTCATGAGGCCCCCAGGGTTCTCCTGATGCCCTCAGACCCAACTCTGCCTGGCTCCCCTCAGCCAGAGACATGTGTCCACTGCTGCTGAGGACAAATCATGCAGGGAGGGGCTAAGGGGCTGAGGGGCTGAGTGCTGAGGTGCTGGCGGACAGGGCTCTCCCAACCTCACCAGCAGGAAGGAGAGAGGATCTGGACACCCCGCGCTTCCGGAACAGGTCCCACTTCTAACCTGTCCTTCATCTCAGCTCATGCCTCCACACTCACTGGTTGGGAAGAAAATGTGATGTTTTTGTGGGAACCTTTGCAGACTCGGTCCTGGGCTCTGTCAGGCCTAGGTCAGTTACCACTTGCCAAATGCATCCTGGCTTTCGAGTGTGTGTTGTCTTTTTTTGCCCTGTTCCTTGGCCTCCACATAAAACTCTGGCCCAAGGCAATAATGCTCAGTCCACCCTTAGTGAGTTTAGGAGAAGAACAGAGTTGGACAGTCGCCCCATTGCAGCCACATTCATGGCATTCACAGGTTGCTTCTTGCATGTGGCCTGACTGGGGATTGAACCTGAAACCTCGGCGTGTTGGAATGACACTAACCAGCTGAGTCCCCGGCCAGAGCTTCCAATAACTTTGTTAGACAACTTCTAATAAATGCACCCCTGGCTCAGACTCAGGACCCAGGTTCGGCCAATGCACAGGCAGAGGGCGGATCAACCCATCTTATGAGGAGAAGCGGGGAGGTTTGAGGGGTGAGAAGCACCCCAATGTTGCCTGCTGTCCCTGGACACTGAGCGATTGGCTCTCTCCAGCCTGCCTTGGACCCTGCCCTCACCTGCATCCCTCAGAGAAAGAAGTGGAAGTCCCAAGATTCCTCGGGAGTCACAATGGCTCTTGCAACAGGAAGGAAGGGGGCATCCGAGATTATCTCCATTTCCTGGGCCCTGTCTTAGGCTCAGCCTATCCTGACTCGGAAAATTCCACTCAGAGAGTTTTCGAAAAAATATATATTATTGACTTTTTTTTTTTTTTTTTTTTTTTTTTACAGAGAGGAAGGGAGAGGGATAGAGAGGTAGAAACATCAATGAGAGAGAAACATCGATCAGCTGCCTAATGCACACCTCTTACGGGATGTGCCTGCAACCAAGGTACATGCCCTTGACTGGGATTGAACCTGGGACCCTTCAGTCTGCAGACTGATGCTCTACCCACTGGGCCTTTCCAGTTAGGGCCAGCTCAAAGACTTTTAACCTCCAGGGAGCTATCTGCCCAGAGTGCAGGTGCTTCAGGCAAATTTGCATGGAGGCCCCGCCCTGCTAGGAGGCAGGGGGAGGGGATAAGAGAGGTCTGGGGGAGCCAGGCTCAGGCTT